AGGAGCATCTATCTCCAGTGCTGACGGACAGGCTGAGCTACCCAGCAAGATCTTCCTTTAAAAATAAAAAAAGAACCCCTTGGTATTGTCCCAAGACCAAATCTCTCAAGTCAGAGCTGTTAGTTGGACTCGACCCCAACACCCCTTATTATCATCAATTTTGTTCTTTTGGTGTTTTTACTTATATTTATTAAATGACAACAAGTATATATACAAACAAAGGACTTCAAAACAATGTGAAAGGAAAGAGAAGAAAACATACACATACCAGAAGAAAAAGGATTATCCCAAAGTCTACAACGAGTTTCTGCTTGTGGCTAACATTCCATTCACCTTCACTGTTAGATACATGCTGAAGAAGGCAGACCAGACAGAAGAGACACATAGCTGTGACTACCACATGGAAGAAAAGAAAGCAAAGACTCTCATACCTCCCTCTGCTGAATGGCTACGATGCCTACGTTTCTCTTTTCTCTTCTCATCTTTTCTGTGGTGGGCTTTTTCTTTCCGAGACATCTGCTGGGGTGGTTTAATGGCCAGAGAATCATCTTCCTCTCCTCTGAAATACACGAGGGACACACCATGATGACAAGGGTGGAGAACCAGGGTAGACACAAAGAAAAGCAATATTCCCAACACAATAAAGTTCAACTCCAACTCTCATTTAAGAAAACCTGAGATCGAAGCTATTTTAAGATTCAGATGAAAAATGTGACAAATCAACAACGTCGCTCTTTAGGGAGGGACATGTTCATTAGTTCATTTTCTTGACTGTGGTAATGGTTTCATGGCCAAGTAAAAAAGTGTGAAATCACACATTATGTGTAATTCATTTAGTCATTTATACTTCAGTAAGACTGCTAAAGTCCTGTAATTTAATCAACTTTACAACTTTAAGAAAACCAAAAGTTCATTTAACAGTACATTCAACTAATTCTTTAACACCAAGATCCTGGAAAATTTACACTCTGAGATTCTTAAAAATAAATAAATAAATAAATAAATAAATAAAATAAAATAAATAACTAAAAAATGGTATTTTAACTTGTGAGTTCATTTTCCTTAGTTATCTTATAAGACACAAGAAGGAAGCAAATGGTAAGACATCACATGCTGGCATGATCCTGCTGACAGTGGTCCCTCTGAATTCCACTGTAGATTACTCTAAAACTGTAGGCTTCCAATACACAAGAAATATTTAAATGTGTTATCTAAATGGTGCTGGCTTGACTGAAGAATTAACATAAAACATGGAATAGAGTTCATTTTGTCAACACATAAAATAACAATCACATATAAGGTAAACTTTATATAGCCAGGCGTGGTGGTGCGCACCTTTCCAACCCAGCACTTGGGAAGCAGTGGTAGGTGGATTTCTGAGTTCAAGGGTCTACATAGTGAGTTCCAGGATTGCCAGGACTATAGGGAGACTCTGTCTCAAACATTAAAATCCAAACATACAAAAATTCTAATTCTTATGGATTCATTTATGAATATGAATGTTTTCCTGCATATATGTATGTTCACTACATGTGCCCAGGATGTCAGAAGGGGGCATCAGATCTTCTGAAACTGGACTCACAGATGGTTGTTAGCCACCATAACCATATGGTGCTAAGAACAGAACCTGGGTCCACGTAAGAGCAACAAGTGCTCTTAACAACGAGTCTTCCCTCCAGCCTGTAAACTTTTTCAAAGTAATACTCAAAGAGGCAGGCTAGAGGGCTAAGCAGACATTAAAAGCTTTTGTTGTTTTTGAAGAAGACCAAAGTTCAGGGCCAAGGACCCATTTCGAGCTTCTCACAACTTGTTACTCCAGCTTTAGGGGAATCCATGCCCTCCAATCAAAGTGCAAAAGCAAAACTCATGTTTTCAGCATTTAAAACTTCTGCATGGAATGTATTCACAGCACATCTGGGGCACACATGGCCCAGGGGCTGCAGGTTAAACATGCCTACTACCACAGCTTACATTTGCTCACCTGTCTTCCATAGAATCCTCTCTTCTATATGGCGAATTCCTGATGGTGATTTCCATTCGGTGATCTCTCAGCTCCCCCTCCTCAAGGGAATCCCTTTTGGAATCCCGGTCATCAGACTAAGAGGCAAAGACAAAGGGAATCATTAAGTCATTTTCCTTACAGATAGTCTTTCTAATCTTTGAAAAGTATCCTGTTACGTAGCTCAGTTTGGCTTTGAACTTGAAGCCTTCTGCCTCAGCTCACAAATGCTGAGGTTACCTTACCCTAATAAACATATTTATTTCTTTGAGGCAGGGTCTCATATGTAGCCCTGGACCCCTGAGTTCTTGACTGCTAAGATTAAAGCTGAAGTTTGCTGAGCAACTTTAAATATACACTTTGAGTGGAGACATTACAAAATACTAGATAACTTTTGTTCAAATTATATATAATTAATACCACATTTTCTTTTCCTGACCCAAAACCCAAGATAGTTTAAAACACTAAGTATGATAAGGGACATGAGACTGTGCTAAGAACCTTAGGGGTTTTTTTTTGTTTTGTTTTGTTTTGTTTTTTTTTTGTTTGTTTTTACTTTTTTGGGTTTCTTTTCTTTTCTTCTTTTTTTTTAAGAGGCAAGGTTTCTCTGTGTAGCTTTGGAGTTGGGAGCCTGTCCTGGAACTCTTACTTGCTTCAGACCAGGGTGGCCTCCAACTCAGAGAGATCCACCTCCTCTGCCTCCCCAGTGCTGGGATTAAAGGCTTTAGACACCACCCAGCAATTGCCAGTTTTTTTATGAGCTAAAATTAAGACCTCAGTTGGATTTTACACATCAGTTACACCATATAAGATTTACATATACATTTCAAATTGGTATCTTTTTAATCTTATCAAAAGAAGTACTTATGTCCAACCACCAAAAAACCTGACAATGTTATCATCCAAACTCATTTTTACAAAGCACTCATTTTAACTACAAGGCAAGTTCCCACTATATTAAAAATACTTGCAAATGGTGTTATGAACATTTTAATAATCAACTGAGAAAAATTAGTCTCATTGCAGTGATTCTAGCTTCAGAACATTTTATTTTTCAAGGAGATACTCTCATTTAGATACAGCTTCAGGGGGCTGGATATGACTCAGTGAATAAGAGAACTGGCCGCTCTTCCAGAGGACTTGGGTTCAATTCCCAGCACCCACATGGCAGCTCACAACTGTCTGTAACTCCTATTCCAGGGCATTTGACACCCTCACACAGACAGACACACCTGCAGGCAAAAACACTACCGCACATTGAAAACAAAACTAGATAAAGCTCCAATGGGTTATCAATCTTCCTTCAATGTCAACTGAGTACATGAATGCTTTTGTTAATTTTAAAATAGATTTTGGGCTCACCTGTGACATTTGGAAGTACAAAAGAACTTCACCGAAGAAGCGTGTTCTAATGGAAAAACGAGGGCAAAGAAATTAAATCTCCTTTAAGAAAACCACTTACTTAAAAAACATAGCTTACATTTTTTAAGCGTTTTATCTCTGCTTTCTCCTCTTGTTCTTTCCTCCGTTTCTTTTCCTGGAGAATTTCATCTAACGTTTTCACTTTCCAAGAGTCCTTTTCATCACCCATTTGAGTAAAAACACTGCAAAAAGAAGAATAATTCAAGCAGCCTCGGGACACAGAAAGCTACGGTCTGTTGTTCTGTCTTTTCTGAACGCTTACGTCTAATCATTAGGGTTTCAGAATAAGTCCCGAAGTCCAGGGAGGCAGGAAGGATTCTGCCTTAATATAATCTTCCCTGTCAGTCCAGTCCTGTAAGGTTTGGGGCAACTCAGTTTACCTCGGTTCACTTTTCCGTAAAACGCAATCACCACCTTCCACGCAACGGTACTGTCCTAGGATGAAAGACCATCCAGGTCAAAGCTCTTATTCCAGTCCTCGCACCCAACAAACTGCCTGAGGTGTCAAAAGGTGGTACGAGAAAGCTCCAGGATGCGGGAGGCCTGGGTGGCGGGTAAGACCAAGGTGTCCTGTCAATGCCGTCAAACGCGGGCCCCCTCCCGTCACGCAGACCCGAGGCAGGCAGGGCCGCCGCCTCCGCTGCCCTGAGTTCCGTGAGGACCAGGGCTGGACGCCGCGGACACGGGCGGCCAGCCCCGATTCTTCAGGGGCACCAGTCCTCACCGCACGCCTGATCTGCCCTCCCGCCGCCACTCACCCCTGCGCCGCCGCCGCCGCCGCCGCCGCCGCCGCCGTCGGTCCTGGGGTCGGAGAAGAAACAGAGCCCGGCGCGCGCCAGGATCGTCCTCACTTACTTCTCGGACGCGTGATGATGACGTCGAGAGGGGCGTGGCGGACCCACTTGTTTGCTCTTTCCCTTGCAATACGGTGCTCACACCGGAAGTGTCCCCACTCTCTCCTTTCCCGAAGTGACGGATTTAGTTCCCGCTTATCGCAAACTGTTGTCTAGCAACTCCCTCGGGTGTCTCTTGCAGATGACGTAACCGAGACGTCCCGCCCTTGCGTCGTTTTTGATTTTAGGTTGGATTTGCCAGTGCCGGGAAACTCTGGACCCTGGCTGTCGTTTGCACGCCACGATGGCCAGCGGGACTAATTACCTTCAGGCACTCGGTAGCATCGGTAGAGGCTGAACAGCCTTCCCGCTCGCGACATGCTACAACCAGACATTTGTTTCTACCCGTCCAACTTGTAAGAGGCCTTTGGTTTGGGCTAAGCTGAGCGAGGTTGCGCAAAGCTGAGTTAGGATAGAGAGGGTCTCAGGGAATCCAGTTCCGGGGAAAGGCTAGTTAAGTCTGTCATGACGAGGAAGTCCCCTGTCAATGAAAATAACGCTGACTCTAATCCAGTTGCCTCAGCCTTTTTTATTTTAAACTAACCTCTTCTGCGGGGCCCAAAGAAGCGATTTGGCCATTTTTTGTTGTTTTACACTGAGACAGAGTTTAGTATATAGACCTATCCTCAAAATCAGAGAGATCCTCTTGTGTGAATCAATGTTGGTTCGGGGCAGTCCTGAGCGGGTTGTGCCTTCTGTCTGCGCTGGTGTTGCTTGAGTGGCCATGGGCTCCAGCAGAGACCGCCTGGAGTGCAGCGGTGAGCAGTCAAGGGGGCCAGGAGCTGGGAGTTGGTTGCTTTTGAGGGTCTGTGTGGGCCCATATGTGAGTGTGTGTGGTGCTGACCGCATGTGAGTCCCTAGTTCCAGGCATCCTAAGTCAGTGTGCCCAGTGGTCGCTGGTGGGAGCCAGCATCGTCTCCAGCTCTGCCCACTCTCATTGGCTATTTTTATTTTTTGAGTTTTCGAGACAGGGTTTCTCTGTGTAGTTCAATCTGTCCTGGAAATCGCTGTGAAGGCCACCTCCAGAGAGTAAAGGCACAAGCCACAAAGCCTGCCTCATTCCTACTTGCTCTTAATTAACCATCGCAGGCCCTGGGTGTGGGTAAAAGCAATTCATTAAGTGTAGAAAAAAAAAAAGAAAAGAAAAAGCCAAAGGGGAGGGTTCATCCACAACCTCCTCCACTCCACTGCCTAAGTCAGCTTTGAGCAACAATTCTGGGAACTAGACTGTTTCTCCCGACTCCTCACATCCATATTTTTAATGTGAAGCCCTCAGGGGTCTCGGGTGTCCAGGCCCCCAGCCCACTGACCATACTGGTATCCCGAAGACGCCGCTACACGCTGACACCAGCCAGGCTGCGCTGGGACCACTTCAACCTCACATACACAAGCTCACAAAGCCTGCCTCAGTCTGACTGGCTCTTAACAACTCCGCTCCCAGGGCTCCAGGGGTAATTGCAATTCATTAAGTGTAGGAGGAGAAAAAAAAAAAAAAAAAAAGCAAAGAGAAGGTTCATCCACAACCTCCTCCACTTCACTGTCTAACAGCTTTCAGCAACAATTCTGGGAACTACATGTTAGTCAGCTTTCTGCAGTAACTGTAGAAACTACAGATGGATGGTAGACCTGTAGGCAAGCCCCAAGCCATGTTGCTCTCCTGTTAGGCTGCCTGGACCGGCTATCTGGGTGTACATCCTGGGCAAGAAAGGGATTTTGTGACACGCACCAGAGGCTCATGAAGAGGCTATGCCCCAGAAGCTGTGACTTCTGCTACGGTGACGAAGGCTCAGATGGGCTTGTGTGGGGGTTGTCTTGAGCTCAGGTCTCTATCTTGGGCCTGGTTTGATGGGAGATAAGTACTGACATGGCATTTCACCGTTCTCTGAGTAGAATTCCCATTCCCCACTGTGGCCACCACCACACCACCCACCAGAATGAAAACCAGGTTGGTGAAAGAGGGTAGGAACATGACCTTCCACTGCGGGCAGAAGATCCTACACAAGAAAGGCAAAGTATAGTGAGTAGTAACCAGCAGGGGGCAGGCATGTGGGGGGGCGTGGGGCTGCCTGGGGTGTGCTGGTGGGTATATCCTGGGGCCCTTGGCATGACTGGGGATGCAGGAACCTCCCCCTGCAGCTGGTACAAGGACCAGGAGCCCCTGGAATTCTCCTACCCTGGCTATCTGGCCCTGGGTGAGGCACAGCTGAGCATCATTGCCAACACAATCAACGAAGGCAATCAGACACCCCAAAACCTCCTTTCCAGAAGAAAAATGTGATTTAATTCTACAAATTTACAACCCAGCCCAAAACAAACAACACAGATAACAAAACAAAACAAGGTTGTCCTGACTCAGCAGATCTGCCTGTCACCACCTAGCTGGCTAGGGTCAGTCAATCTGACCTCAGAACTTGAGACTGAAGCCAGGGCCGGCAGCTGAGGCTCCCTGGTTGGTGGTGGTGAGGTGGAAGCCTGTCTCCTTGAGGTCGTCATCACCCTGCAAACAAGTACAGTGGCCACCATGAGGACTGTATCCTCACCCAGTCCCCCCATGGGAACCCCTAGTAGTCAGGGCCCTCACCAGCTGGCTGTAGCCCAGGCCGCCCTCTGGGGGCCGAGGACTCGTGCCTCGCTTCACCCTCTGCTGCTCGCTCTTGGCAGGCCACGTGGGAAACATGGATGGGTCGATGGGGAGGGGAGTCTCTCGGAAATACTCGTGCTTGAGGCCATCTTCTGCACTGATTCTCCTCCCCGGGCAGTAAGTCAGGAACCTGAAGAGAATGGCACAGGACATCAGGGCACACGTGGCCATCACAGACAGAGCCAAGCCTTTTGGTTGCGATGGAGGATGAGCCCCCCTGGGGCTCAGCATCTCAGAAAACCTGGTACGCTGGGGCTTCCTGTGAGAGACTCAGCCTAGAGCCCGGGGGCTGCGGACTGTGCCACACTTCCACTTACTTGTTCATGAGATCAAAGCCCTGATCTGACAACAGAGCCCCAAATCGCTTGCGGAGATTGTTATAGGGATACTCGCTGAAGGTCATCTTCTTCACTGCTGGGAGGTCATTGTAGCCAGGCCAGATCTTCTCGCTGGGGGTCCCCAGGTCCTGAAAAGCAAGGTTGTCTTTCCAGTAAGTTGAGATCATGTGGCTACACTTCAGTTGATAGACATGGGTTAATACTTAAGACAGCTAGCCAATAAGAAATGCTAGTAGCCTGCCAACAGCTTTATATCTAATGCACCTCTGTGTGTTATTTTGGGCTCAGGAGGCTCTGGGTCCAGGCTGGAGGGAAAATAGCTCTTAACAAAATAGTGTTGAGAAAAGCTTAAAAAGGGATTTTAGAAACAAAAGAACAGCATTTTTCTCGGGTGGGCTGTTTTGCTAGAGACAAGCAGAGACTTTCAAGGTTCCCTTAAGGGAGTCTTCCTGACTCAGCATAAGCAGAAAAAACTGCAAGGTTCTTAAGAAGCACTGGTAACAACTGAATGCTGTGCACAAGAGCTGGCAGTAGCAGTGACTACATCTCCAATCCGACAGCATGGTTGATGGCAGCATAGACCAAGGGTGAGCACAGCTCTCAGTGCTAGTAGTAAATGTACCCCTGCCATCTTCAAAAGCACTGTTGTTTAGCAGATAAAAGACTTGTGGCCAGAAAAAGATAAAGATTTACAGTAAAGAAAGATTCATATTCAGAAAAACCTTTAAAGGTTTATTGTGGGTTTTAAAATACACTTAGGCTTGGGAGAGAAAAAGAAACAGGATAAAGTGGTTAAAAAAAAAAAAAAAACAGTAGCTGGGTGTGGTGGCACATACCTGTAATTCCAGAACTTGGAAGGCAGAGGCAGGCAGATCTCTGTGAGTTCAAATTGAACCTGGAATACAGAGTTAATTCCAGGACAGGCAAAAGTCACACAGAGAAACCCTATCTCAAAAAATGAAAAAAATAGAAGTAGAAGAAATAGAGTAATAAAAGCCACATGAAGATGGAAAGCGCACAGAGTCTGGATATTGTATGCTATTATGTTGTCTGTGTATTGTTTGACTGATAAGGAAATAGCAACAACTGTTCAAAGAAATGCTGGAATAATCCAATTTCTATATTTTAAAAATGCTTTGACATCAAAATTTAAGTCTAAGGACAGGTTACTGGGGAAAAGAATTTGGGAAAAGAATTTCTATTTTTGTTCCCACAGAAAATGAAAAGCCATGGATTCCTTTCAGACTAACATGATTTGATCAAGCAAGACCCCCTGAAACAGTGTCCCAGGTGATCCAACATTCAAAACAGCTGGGACAAGGCAGCCTTGCAGACCACTACAGCCAGGATTTGTGCATCTTCTTAGGATTCCCCAAGACAGCACCCCCTACCTGCAGGAAGCAGTTTGGAAAGTATGACTCCCAAATTCCCAAATATTGCTTATAAATGTTTGTTTTCACTTAAATGGGGTTGGTTATAAATTGTTAATGACCACAACCAATCTCTTTTTTAAGGTGAAAAGGGGATTAAGGCATAGAAATGAATATTTTGTTTCACAATAAACTTTTATTATTGATAAAATTTAAGGTCAATTTTGTGATATGTATATTTCTCTTTTTTAGGTATAGTGTTTATATAACTCATTCAAAAATGTATAATTTAGTACAGGTTATATATAGTTGCCTATAATAGTCAAAACTTGTAGTTAAGTTAGTTAGGATTTCTAGATATATAGAGATATATTTGAGATACAAATCTCTCAAAGACCTACAGAATATGGAGTTTAAAATGGTTCAGGGTTTTTCTTAACAGTGAGGCACAACTGCTCCTGACAACACCATCTGCATCTGAAAGGAAGATGGACTCGAAGAAACTCATTATGGAGTTTGCTTTCAATATGACAAGACTAGCCATTTGGGAAAGATATGGCTCTTGTCTGGACTGTTTGACTTTATGCTGTATAAACTGGGCAAGACCCACAGAAAAGTGACTGCTGAAACAAGATGGACATTGCTGTAGGGTTCCTGCTTCATGGAAGAGTCTGCCAGACATTCTGCAGGGCACAGAGAAAAGTGACGGACAAACTGCCAACACAGGCAGACAGTTTAAAGTTTCCTGCTTTACTGAAGAGTCTGCTAGACACACTAGGGCTTATAGACTGAAGATGGAACATTACAAAAGAACTTTGGGGTGACTGACCAGGCAGCGAGTTGTCTCTGTCATTTCTAGAGTTTATATTTTATCCTTTAGAGGTCTTTGATGGAGTTGAAGACAGATAGTTACGGTTATAGTTTTCCTCAGTTAGGATTAAAAGTAAGTTACATATAGGACTTTAGACACAAAGATAGGATAGATGATGAAATATTTTCTTTAAATCTAGCTAAAAGTTAATGGACTGAACATTGTTAACTGTGGTTCTTATTTGATAACTGTTTTGTTATATATTTTACTATGCTAAAGTTAAAACACTTCTTTTTATTTAGCAGAAAAGAGGAGAAGATGGGAGATGTCATTCTGTAAATATGTTTCCTTATTGGTTAATGAAAAAAGCACTGTTAGCAAAGAGGAAGGCAAGACAGGCGGGACTAGGAGACAAGGAAGATTTCTGGGAGATGTAGGGGGAGCCAAGATGTACTGACTTGAGGGAAAAGGTATGTACCCTGTCTTCAGTAAGATAAGACCATGTGCAAACACTTGGATCGATAGAAATGGGTTAATATTTAAGACAATAGCCAGTAAGAAACACTAGTAATAGGACAACAGCTTTATATCTAATACAGCATCTCTGTGTGTTATTTGGGGCTGATGCGGCTCTGTGACTAGGCTGGGGAGAAAACTCATAACAAGGACATCTGAATTTGACATGCCCTCCATGGTGCCCATGTCACTTTTGTCAGGAAAACCACCAAAAGCCCACAGTGTGGCCTGGGTCCCAACCCGGATCCCACTTCTGCAAATGCATTGCAGGCCTTTTTCTACAAATATGGCCAGCTCTAATGGTCACCTTGAAAATTTTGTTGATCTGATCGATGTCTGACTTCCCAGGGAACAGAGGTTTCTGTGTCAGCAGCTCTCCAAAGATACAGCCCACTGACCACATGTCCACAGCTGTAGAGTACTCCTAAAAGAGGACATGGCTGAGATGCCTGAAGGCCCACATCGGTGTCAGCCACAGGTTTCAATGAGGGCACTATGGGGCAAGGAGGGTTCTTAGACCACTCTTCAAACTCACCTTAGCACCAAGCAACAGTTCTGGGGCACGGTACCATTGGGTTACGACAACTGGAGTGTAGGCCTTCAGGGGTGAGCCATACTCTCGAGCCAGCCCAAAGTCAGCCACCTATAAGAACAAGGTCAACAGGGTGGCCTACAGGACCAGGCTATGGAGGCGTTTCCAGGGTCCAGGTGGGAAAGAACAGGGCTCACCTTGAGAATACCAGCGTGGCTCAGCAGAAGGTTAGAGGTCTTAAGGTCACGGTGCAGGATCCAATTGTCATGGAGGTGCTTCACCCCACTCAGCAGCTGGATCATCAGGGTCTTCACCTCCCCTGTGAGAGTAATGAGATCACACACATGCTTCCTTTGCCTCATGAGTTCCCAACACCCCCGCAAAAGGGCCCAGAGACTCGGGGTTATTTATGTAACCCAGCAGCAACTGGACTTCTGGATCGCTAGAAAGGCACGGTTCCCTCATCATGGCTGGACAGCACTGGCTGTCCAGGGTGGCGTGCAGCCATACCTGGCAGGAAGGGCTGCTTCATGGTCTCCATCAGGCTCTTGAGGTCATGCTCAACATAGTTCATCACAATGTAGATCTTGTCCATGTTGCTTCCCACCACGATTTCCTAGGAATTAACAGGCCACCTATGGGTTCAGGGTATGGCTTCTACCTCCAATCCCACCCTGGCAAGCACAGGTTCTGGGAAACCTACTAAGACATCTTGGGAAGCTGTCCTCTTTGGACGTGCTAACACCTGACCCTGTGATGTCATGGAACTGTCTCCCTCGTCCCTTCAAGAGATAAGCCTCCCACACAGGCAGGGCATGCCAAGCGTGGAGACTGAGCCTCACTCTGACAGTGACGATATTGGGGTGCTGGGCCTTGAGGATGGTGTTGATCTCCCTCAGGGACGTGATGGGGAAGCCTTCCTTCTCCTTCTCCATCTTTAGCCGCTTCAGGGCCACAATTTCGTCTGTAAAGAAAACCGTGTGTGAGCTGCGCATGGCGCCTCATGCGTGTAACTCCAACATGGCAGAAGCAGAGGCAGGAGGACTGCCATGCATTCGAGGCTCGAGAGT